GAATGTTCTGCCATCTTGCAGAACAAGCTGCCCGAAAAGCGCAAAGACCCCCGGAGTTTCACTATCCCTCTTAATATTGGTAGCATGCATGTAGGGAAGTCCTTGGTGGACCTAGGCGCTAGCATAAATGTCATGCCATACAATCTGTTTAAAAAAGCTAGACCTAGGTGAACTTCGCCCTGTTAGGATGAGCATTCAGTTAGCTTATCGCTCTATTGTGCATCCTAGGGGTATCATAGAGGATCTGCTTGTTAAAGTAGGTGCATTCACGTATCCTGTTGATTTTGTTGTTCTGGATATAAATGAGGATGTGGATGTGCCTTTGATTTTGGGTACACCATTTCTTGCCACCGCCAAGGCACTAATTGACGTGCATAGTGGTACACTGATCTTGCGTGCTAGGAATGAACATGCTACTTTTTCTGTGGCTGACCTTGATCATGGTGATATGCCTGCTGTCACACCTATGCATGCCATTTCTCACCAGGTACACGAGCCTGTCGTGTATCCCTCTGTGCATCTCGTGTTATAGGATTCCCCTCTCACGCCTTCGCCGCCACCCCATTCAACCTCACCTGCAAATAAAAAGCTTAAAGAGGAGTGGCGGCCGAAGCCGCAGGTGGCTAAGCCTGCACGAAAGAAAGGTGGAGACCACTATGAGCTGGTTCCACCTCCTGCACCACGACCACCCTGGCCATCCGAGTACTCACTCGCCTGCATTTTGCCGGATGGCCAGGTCGAGCTGACCAATTCTGGTGGCCGCACCCGTCGGGTGCATGGTCACCATCTGAAGCTGTACCTCAAGAGCGATGTGGATCCTCTCTTGGAGGCACCTGTTCCTGCACCCCGCTGAGTATCCACCATGGGCGTCCAGCTAAAAGACGGTAAAGAAGCACTTGTGGGGAGGCAACCCCACCACGGTTTTCATTTATTTCTTTTGTTTTGAGTCGGATTGTAAACTGGTTTGGTTTTGGTTTGCTTTCTTTTGTTTTTGATGATGCATTATTGGGCTGACCATTGGACCTAACATATTGTGTTTGAGTTCTTCTATTCCCTTTAGCTCTGCTTTGTCCCTGACTGATCCCCTCTCCAGTCCTCTTCGCTCAGACTGGTCCACTTCCAGTCTCATGTAGTCCGTGCACACCGGTAACATCGTTCCCTTTATCTTTCCCTCTTCTCCATTGAGGGCAATTTCGATCTTAAGAGTGGGGGGGGGGGATGTTTCTCTTTTGACTGCATTAGATCTGTTTGTGTGCTTGGAGCCTAGTCCACTGTCCAAATTTTTAAATTTGAGGGCTCCAAGTACGTGTTTCCTTGCAAATTGCCTGCTCAGTATGCTCTGAATTGACAGTCTCTATAGTAATGTGCAACCTAGGGAGGTAGTGTAGCACTATGGAGGATGTTGAAGTATAAGATTTTTCCTATCTAGCTCTCTGCTGTGCCAGTTGATTTTGTGAATTAATGGAGCTAGGATCGTTGAATTCATGTGATAATGGTGACTCTATGTGGATTGTGTTATGGAATCGTGTATCGAACAGGGTGCTCATGTGGAAAATGAAAAATGCAGTTGGTCCTCCATGTCAAAATCATCAAAATCTTAAACATGGGGTAAGCCCAACGTGTGCGGCACCGTTCATTGCACCAAATCGGGTTTTGGAAGAGATTTTAGTGATCCTTAGTGGGGTAGTCCTACAAGGTGAAGCTAAGCTATCTCTAGTACAAGTAAAACTTCCACCCGTTGAACGGTTTGCCTACTTGAGGATGTGTTTTTAGGGGCACGGATAGAGCTTCTGACCCCCCTTAATTTCATTGACCCTCCACACGAGTTGAGGAAAAGGAGTTAAAAGAAGTACTCTGGCGAGCGCCAGATGTACAGAAATTGCTCTTGCTCGACTAATAAGGGTCGACCGTGTAAGAGACTGCAGTTGGAACCTCCGCCAAGTGAATGAAAAAGAAAAAAAAAGTAAAATGAAAGTGAAAAAGGGGTTCCAACGGTGAAATGAAGTGAAAAGAGCACCCCGGTACAACGAGGCCTTGGTTGAGAATGACATGAGTCCCTTTATCCATGAACTGACTGTCTTACTTCTACTTCTTCTCATGATCCTGGCTTGAGTCTAGTACTCGCATTTAGGGGTGGGCAACGGGACGGGACGGGATACCCGTCCCATTTGAAACGGGTACCCAATCCCATTTAGAGAACAATCTCCTTCCCATGTCCCAAACCCGTACGGGTTAACGGGTACCCAATACCCATACGGGACGTATAACGAGTACCCGTACTACCCGTAAATACCCATCCAATTGGAACTAGATGAGTTTGACGATTTTATTTCTTTTTCTTTCAATTTCTTCTCGTGACATTTTTAAGGTCCAAAGAGGTGTGATACTAATGGATCAACAAATCTTCCTACACAGTTCCTAGTTTAGTACGAGATGATAAGGAGTTGCTATTGGGAGGCCAACACTCTGTTTGATTGAGTGTTAGAGTGTAGACATATATATTCTGTTTACTATATAAGTATGAAACTCCTATAGCTATTAGCAGCCACTGATTCCATTTTTTCCTTTCTCCACTTAATACATATTACCATCATCAGTGGCTAGCAATTTTGCATTGGACTAATGGGTTTAACGGGTACGCGTAATACCCAAATGGGTATTAACGGGTAACCCGCGGGTACCCAAAGTAGCAATTCTTGATCCCAAGTCCCATCCCGTAAAAAAAATTACGGGTATTTGGGTACCAGTAACCCTCAAAAAACGGGACGGGTATGGGTATACCCAAATACCCATTTCCCGTTTCCCACCCCTACTAGCATTTAGAGAGAAAGGGGACGTCTTAGAAGACCAGTTGACCTCGTAAGCTGCGTTATGATCTAGAAAATCCTCTATCGACGATCAGGGTTGTTTGTTGCTATAGAGGTCTAGAGAGTTGCATTGGTTTGAGTTAGGTTTGCTTGGGGACAAGATAACGGTTAAGTGTGGGGGAAATTGATAACGATGTATTTGCACATGTTTGCACCCTTAGTTCTTATCCGTTTGCGGCTAGTATTCATGTATTTTTGGCCCGTTTTACGCCGGGTTGTGCTACTTTCTCATATTTCCGGTCCCAGACGTCGAAGGAAAGGCTAAGAACGAGTTTCGGGGCATTTGGAAGTCATTCGGTCGAGCTGGGGCCAAAGCACGGGCTGGCCTAAACCAATACACGACCGTGTACACAAACAGGCACGCGCCAGTGTTTTTATTGCCGAGAGCTGAACTGATGGAAAAGCAAAACACGGGCTGGCCTAAACCAAAACACGGTCGTGCCATATTTAGGCACGACCATGTTTTGGCCAACGCGGGCGTGTTTTTAACACGGGGCAAAACACGGGCGGGCAAAACCAAAGCACGGTCGTGCCCTCGACCGTGTTTTGCCCAGGGTCGGCCTTTTTAGGAAGATTTGAGCCAAAGAAGAAGGGGTTCCGAGTTTTACAGAGACAGAGTGATTCCTAGAGATAGAAAGTGACGAACCAGAGTTCCCAAGTGCCCTAACTTGATCTTCATCACCATTGGATCCCGGCTTGAGCTTGGAGAAGATCCGATTGAGTGCCAGAAGCAGATTATCATCCTTCACAGTATGGTTTCCGCATCTGAGATAGATTTTCCATCTCTCTCTATGGAGTAGTTTTTTTATTCATCAGGGTATGGAGAACCCTAGATTTGCATGTTAGGTCTGATTGTATGAACCCAAGTAGAGATTCTATGATTTGATTATATTCAATTGAGGTTTGAATGATTGAATGGCATGAATCTTGATCAAATTCCTGTTGTTTCTGCCTAGGTTGATAGAGCACCCTTAATTGAAGGTAGTGAATTGGCGACTTTAGTCGAGGAGCCAATTCATTATTCTGTACCGAATTTACTTCGGTAGTGGAGGTTTTGTTCGTTAGGGCCTCAATCTGTTTACCCCGGTGGAGGTTAGTCGCCCGCTGGGGACTCAGATTGAAAGGGTCTGGAGACCTTTAGTCGAGACTTCAGACTGCTTAAGAACCTCCCGCAGTATAACTATCATTAAAACTGAACTTGGTAAATTACAATCCGGCTCAACTGCAGTCTAGGGGGAACCATATCCGGGTGACCTCTCTCGATTTGAAACAACCTTCTTGCTTGCTTTACTTGTTTGCTTGTTTGAACTTGCACTAAAGTTTCACCGCTAAATAATAAGAATTCGTTGAGTAGTCATCACATCTAGGACCCGGGTTGACATTAAAACCCAAACCCGCTATACTACGCTTTAGGAAGTGGTTACACTTGGCCATTTTCTAGAGTGACAGTAGGAGTGAGTCAGCCACCCCTAGCGTTGAGTGTCGCCTGCCTATTTGCATGTACGCTGATAATACAAGTGCGATACAGATTGCTACTAATCCAGTGCTGCATGATCGTACTAAGCATATTGAAGTCCATGTCCACTATATTCGGTAGTTGGTGAATGAAGGCCGTTTGGAGTTGGTCTACATAACTTCTAAAGATCATACTGCTGATTTGTTAACCAAGGCTTTGGCTTCTGCTCGTCATTGGTTTCTAGTACACAAATTGATGGTGAGACAGCACCATCAATTTGAGGGAGGGTGTTAGAAACTAAAGGTTTAGGTACCTTTATGTAAATTGTCTTGTACATATTAGGGTTTCGGGTAGAAGATTATTTAAGCCTAAGAGTGGCCGAATAGAGGCTTGTATGGTGGATTTGTGAACTTCACATAATAAGAGATCAATCGGCTTGTGCCGTGGACTAGTCTCAACGTTCTAACGTTGGGGAAACCACGTAAATCCAGTGTCTTGTGTTGATTCTCGTTCGTATTTTGGTTACATTTGACAAGGACACGACCGTGTTTTACTTTTTCCAGCCCGTGTTTTGCCCCCAGAAGCCTTCACGACACTCCCTCGGCATTAAAAACACTAGTGGGGGCCAGATAAAGCACGACCGTGTTTTTAGGGTAGTCTGTCCGTGTTTTTACTGCCGAACATGTTCCCCTATATTCAATGTTTCGTTTCTCCATCGTCCGGACTCCGAATCAGTCGTCGTTTGATCTCATATTCTCGTAATCTCATCCTCTTTCTTTTCATGACAAGCTTTCATGATTCTTTGTCCATAAATGAGGCAGAAATCCATTCTTCTTCAGGTCATGCCCGAGTTTCTTCTCCCGAATCACCAATTGATCTCTGATTGACTTGAAACTTGCGCCTATGTTCACTTTGCATGTTGGGACCTGAAATGTGACAAAGGAACACAAAATAGCATAAAATATTCAAAAGAAGAGATAATGCAAGCTTAAACGATCAAGAAGTAGAGGGACAAACATGTGCAAATATCGAGTCATTAAGTCCTCTAAGGTACTAGGGGTTCTAAACCCCAAACCATATTTCTAGGGTTACTATGTAATGAATGGATAGGGTGTTAATGAATGAATGTGTTTATCTAGTTGATTTCATTGTCTCTCTAGCTTTGATTGTGTTTGGGTAAGTCTCCCTAATCTTCTCTACTAGCCTACTTGAGCTTCTACGCTAGGTATGGAGTTTTAGACTTAGACGGGTATGCATCATCAAACAAATTGAGGTTAGATGTATGAATAGGAACCTATGGTGAAAAAGGCGACCGTAACCCTGCCATAGGAATGTTGTCCTAGATACAACCCGAGATAAAACCTCGATGTGGATGATGGGTAGTAACCCTTTCGAAGGAGCTGTGTGCTTAATGCCCTAGATATGATAGCCTAGATCGAGGTGTCTGGCATGGGTTTATGGGAGTCTTCCTCGGAGGCGTGTTGATAACCATGAAAGCCCATGGGAAAGAGCTCACTCACCACATCAGAAAAATCCTATTTATCTAGACAGTGCATAGTAGACCGAGGCTAGGGTGAGGGAGAGTTCCTCGCAGTACTTGCTTTTATCTTTATTTGTTCTCTCTACTAGTATTCTGCTTGAATCCTCCATCACAAACACTTAAAACTGATCTCCTAGATAACAACAACTTGGGAAGTAGGCTAGTGTACGGACACACGAGTGAATACGACCTTGATTGCCACTATATGAAAACGCCAGTCGAGGATAAAACTTGGCCTAGACTGGGGTAGTTAATGAGACGTGATAACTATTGACAATGACTTGCACGCATTGAATTGATTAGTGAATCAACTGTACTATGGACACTCTCCTGATTCTAAGAAAACCTTACTAATTTTAGGATTTGCATGTATTAGTGAAGATAATCCCGATCGAATATATTTTATCTGCATGTCTTGTAGCAATTTCATCGACACTTTAGTCTGACTCATGATCTCTATTGCAGGAAGACTCATTTTGATTTATACATGGAACAATTCCATCCTTCCTTTAGAGGAGGTACGATGAAAAGTTTCATAACTGGTCATCAATTTAACGTCGAATCCCCTCGAGAAAATGCCATAGAAACTTTAGTAGGGGCCTCTTTTGCTATTTCTTCAATGGAGAGAGCACGATTTCTCTTTTTTTAGTTGCTTTGTACTTATATATATTTTAAGTTACCGATACAAATATATTTTACAATTAATAGTATTTTATACTCCTCTACTATTGCAAGTTAACAAATGTGCCATTATACTAGGTGTGTAAGTTTGGTCCTAGAGACCCATCAATCTGCCCTCACCCGTCAGGGTCGGGCTTGATTAGTTTATAATCGATTCATCTATTGACCTGCAAGGGTCGAGTAGGGTCGGGTCGCTTTTTGCCTGTGAGTCATAGCAACAATTAGTGATATAAAATTTCTCATACTAAAACATTGGACCTAGTTTTAAAAGTTTAGGTACTATAATGCAAGTGAGTCAGAATCGAAGACGAAGAACAGTTGCAAATCCTTTGAAATTATTAATCTATGGTTTTCATAAACTTTCCGAACATCAACATCCACATTCCTAGAGTCACCATCGTTCTTGTTGGGGGAAATGTAAAAAAAAATATTCAACAAAGTGAAAACATTATTTAATACAAGGGTACAATTTGTTCATTTTCTATACCCTCAAATGATCTGTGAACACAATTTTTGGTTAAAGGTTACATTTTAATAATAGAATGATATGTTTTTGCAAAAAGAAAATAATAGGGCGGTATTTTGTTAATTTACAACAATATAAGGGTATAAAATGCTATTAACCCTATAATTTAATTTTTGTTTTATCTGCTTATTATTTCCCTCTCATTGAAAAGTTTGTCCTAGTTTTGTTTAACAGTTGTCACTAAGCAATTTTGTTGCGCTTTGTGATTGGCCCAACGACAACTTTAAATGCGTGCAGAAGTAGGATGGCATCGTATTTTGACAAGATTTAAGAGATATATATTTATATTATTATTCACATAATAATTAGCTCTAAGATGAAACATTAGAAATGAAATAAATTAAAACCTAAAAGAGGCCTATGCAAATATGTGTACCACTAACACTAAAGAAAGAAAAAAACACTTTGAAATTTAGAGCAACATTTCCAGATAGTTGCTATATACCTTCTTAGTAATGCCTGCAATGAGCAGTCAACTCCAATGAAGTTCTCATTAGTCTTCTTTCGATGAGACACTCGAGTATTCAACCTCATTTCTAGATGACCTTATGTCAGATGAACTGGTTGATGACATGGTCGTACTAGCTTCACTCTTGTAGTCCTTTGTTGGGTCTCCTCCGGGTGGATTATTAGCAGCAGCTTGTGCTGCTGCTTTTTGGCCTTCCTCTGCTAGTCTTCTCACAATATTCATTACGGTTGGAAGGAACTTGGCAGACAAGGCAATAAGAGCAGGGAGCTATAGATGAACAAAGATACAATAGGTTAATAAAGATTTCAAAAGGGCATTATTCTTAACTTGTTTTAGATAAAATTTCATTATGCTTCAATTACTCTAATGTCAGTATTTAATGTTACTCGAGGAGAAAGTAGCAAGCAAATACTGAGCTTTAGAAGTAGGTGAGAGCGTGGTACTTACAGCACCATGTTGGAATTCACCAGCAACATCCATCTGCACCCATAAGGCTTTCAGAACCAGAAAAGCGACAAATATGAAAGCCATGTAAAATGGATTTCTATAATCGATCATCATGAGAGCAAACATAAGGTAAGGTTAGTTAACATGAAAATAAATAATAATTATAATAAAAGAGCTAGATGGAAAAGCGGAGAAAAGGTACCTCAAAAGTGTCATAAACTCATTAAATCCTAGAATAAGCAAGGCTACAATAGCCCATGGAGGTGGTAACCAATTGTTATTACGTTTGTTTGCTTCCTGTAAATTGGCAGTAAAATGCATTAAGATTGGTCTTAAGCCTTGCTCTTGTGAAAAGATTTAAAAGAGTATGCATGCATTATGTTATGGTAGAGACAAAAAAGTTCATGCCTGGGCAGAAATAGCCTGGGTCACACTATATTCTGTTTCTGCCTTGAATTGCCTCCACAAAGATTTACACTGGACTGGTGTAATCAATGTCCTTGATGATGGAATCTTTGGTCAAACAAATAAAACAAAAAGTTAATCATGCAGTCATTCTAGGGACATGAGATGATAAGTTAAGATGTTAAAAAGTGTACCTCTTCCCAAGTGCTTGAGGCCAATGGGTCAGCCATTGTGGTGGTGCTTTTGTCGGTTACAACATGAGCGCTCGTTGGTTCCAACAAACAAGAGCATAGTGTTTGCTCGATGGTATCAGGATTGTTATCTAACCGGATTGCAGCCATCACAGATAACAACTTCACAGACTAGCAAAAACATCAAAAGAATACAATAGAATTCAATTCTGCAGAAGAGGGTAGGGGAATGATTCATGCCAAGTTCAATATCTATAATAAGAAAAGATAGCTAGCTAACTCTTACAGCAGAGCGAGCGGTTTTGGTAATTGCTCGAATGTCTTCATTTCCAGTCCAAACTCGAGGCATGGAATCAGAATCATGACTAAATAACATCGAAAACCTGTGTAAAGTAAAGAAAGCAATTGATATTAATTAATTACCATTATGGTAGAAATTTTAATTTATGTATAACACCAATAGAAGAAAGAATTGAACAGCTTTCAAGGTTGTCAACCAACCTGTCTTTCATCCTAATAATGACCCTTGCGGCTTCTTCTTTTGCTTTGGCTTCCACAACACCTTTTGCATGGTTTTGTAGTTTGTTAAGCATATCTTCTCTGGCGTTTTGGTCCATGTCAAAGCCTTTGAGATCACAGGACATTTCAGAAACAGCTGAATCAGACTCACGTTTCAATAGCTTCCTTATTGATGACCAAGTCTCATGATTAGCTCCGTCTAACAGAACTTCCACCGGTGCTGATAATGCATGGTCTAGTTTTTTCTACAATATTCACAACAAAAATAAAAAGATGCAAAGTTCAATTATCCTCATTGTACTATTGAACAATGCAGTCAAAAGCGTGATTCTACCTAGAAGCGGAAAAGGAGTAAAATTGTAAAGCATATAATCAAAGTGTAAGAGCGTAAGTTTTTTACGCATACTGTAATATAACTAAAAATGTGTTAAATACGACATATACTATGTTAAATATGAGTGCAAAAAATTTAGATAAGTTAATAAATACTTGCAATTCATTTATAAAGTAGAGCAACTCATAACATCTTAACAATAAGTTCATAAACATAGATCTTAACGATAAGTCACCTTTCTCTCTTTGCTAATAAATTTGGGAAAGATCAAGCTAGTGAATTAGATTACTCTATTGAAACTAAAAATGCATTCAAATACCTAGTATGTAGGGGTGGCAACGGAAAACAGGTATTTGGGTATACCCAAACCCGTCCCCTTTTTTGAGGGTTACGGATACCCAAATACCCGTTATATTTGTTGTGGGATGAGATTTGGGATTAAGAATTTCAACTTTGGGTACCCGCGGGTTACCCGCTAATACCCGTTTGGATAGTTTGGGTACCCATATTACCCATTAGAATTATTAAATTTCATTTAGGCATTTAGCCCAAATCTAAATTGTTTACCTCGTTTACTTTGATGATGGATTGATGGTGCAGATCTTACTAGTTTTGCTTTTTCTTGTAGATGTGAAGATGTCATTTTTAGTTTCTACTATATGTTCTAAGCAGAAACTCCCAATTTTGTTTATTTGGTTGTTCACTAGACTAGAAACTTCCATGCTGTTGTGCTCTGCAACTTATTTATCTAGGCAAGAATGAGAGATGTTGATGAGTTGATTTACTTCCTTATATGTGTGGGTATGTTTTGAGTTATATGGTAGTAAAGTGCCTTGTGGACAATGAAATAGAAGCTGGGTGTGCCTTGTTTACACAAGTCATGGGACGGTTTATTTGAACTTATGAGAATGAGGCGCAACTTATATGACAGTTTATTTGAAGTATAGTTTTAATATTTTGTTCCTGATTTTGTAATTGTTCCCATATTGAACAAGCATGAATGGGTAGTTTAGTTACCAGTTATCTATTCGGGTTTGGGATATGGGATGAACTTTAGTCTCCAAATGGGATTGGGTACCCGTTTCAAACGGGACGGGTACCCAATCTCATCCCGTTTCCCACCCCTACTGGTATGTACTCTCAAATATATCATATTAGTGGTGATTTACCTTCAAAATATACTTCTATAATTAATTTCATGAATAGAATACCCATTTAGTGAACTAGAAGCGTAAAGCATTTTGGTGATCTAGAAGTGTAAAAACGTAAGGTTTTAAGCTTTAAAAGTGGAATTTAGCCCGATTTTATACATTAAAGATTTTATATGGAAACAAAAGCGTTTTGGTTACCTAGAAGCGTAAAACCGTAAGCTTTTAAGTTTTAAAACGCAAATTTTGACTGCACTGCTCTTGAACATGTCATAGTACCTAACAATAAGTAGTGAACTAACGATACCTCAAATTTTGATGTAAGCTCAGACAATTTCGCAGCCCGAACAGTAGTGATGTGTGTATCAATGTCACGTTTAAGCTTTTCCTTAACTTTGGATGCATCCCAATTCGCTTGATTAATAACAACATCTGTAGTGGGGAAATATGTGTTTATTCATTGCCTGAAGCTCCCAAAATCATTGTCATAATAATTAGCGGATAGGGTCTAGTAGTACCTACGCATCCTTCATCAAATTGAGCCAAGAATGACTCAGCACAAGTAGTTGCAGCTAGTGAGAATCCTTCTCCTGCATTGAGTGCTTTTTCAAATGCGTCCTTGAATTTCTCAAAGGTTCCAGACCTTAGATGTCCCAATATGGTTTGGTATGCTGGTTGTACCAGCTACATCATCATTATAATAATAATAAATGAAATTAGAAACCATATTCTAAGATTTACTACACACTCATATTCTCTTCTTAGCCTTCCTAACAAACAAGTCAAGTTGGATCATCTTGGGTCATTTTCATGGATTTTGATATTTACAATGAGCAAGATCACTCAAGAACATGTGTCTTTTCATGTATAGCTTACAAGTCATTTTGAGTGGTTTCATTTTTTGTAGTGGATCAATGAAGTTTAAATTAGTATCATACGATGAAATCAATTTAATTTGAACTATCTGTGTATTGAGTTCTAGTCAAGTCATAAAGTACAACCCTAATGCATCAAACAAATAAATTTAAGTGAAAGTTTACTTGTAATAGTTTTTCTTCAAGTTGCTTCCGCTTTGCAGATCGAACTCCTTCATCGAAGTATGTTGCTTCACTATCATACCTATATGTTGGAACACACAATCAAAACAACAAATCACTACTCTCAAACATCGTGAAACAAAATATGATACAAAAGATACAGACTAACAAATAATTCTCAGACATGCATTCACCGAGTCCTTACCCTTTTCTTTTTTGTCCAATTTAGCACACAAACAAGTAAAAGAAGAACATACTTCTGCAAACACACTTACTCTGTTAGACAAATGTTGAGAATTGAGCTAAGCTTCTTCCCAAAGCCTGGAACAAAATCAGTTTGTACGGCCTCATCTATTTCACACCATTCCTTCCGGTATCAAACATCAATTTGACGTAAGAAGGTAAGTCTACAACTCTATAAATGTTTTCCAAAAAAAAAAGGCTTGGATAAAGATGCAAAAACTGTTTGCTACCTTATTTTCACCGAATTCAGCATACTTCTCATTCCCAATTTCTTCACAACGCACAGTAGCAACCATAACCTAGAAGAAGTATTTCCTTATGTAAAAGAAATCACAAAGAAACAAGGTGGTTGACGATGAATAAAGAGAGATAGATAGTACCTTGTGCGCAGGAAGATCAAGGTCTTTGTTCTCCTTAATAACTTTCCATATTTGCTGTGAACTAAAAGAGAAACCTGAGGCAGGAACTACACCTCGTCGATCACCAGTAAGTCCACCCGGCACAATGGAATGGAAGAATCTTTGCCTCAAGTTAGCAACCTTTTTCCACCAACATCATCCATCACATAAATAAACGTGACCAACTAAACAAGTTCCCATCCAGATAACAAGGAATGCCACTTTTCCCCTACCTGCTCTCTAAATTGCTCTTCCTTTTCTTCATAACTTGAAAGAGCGACGACCTCAACCTGACCAATGCATGAAATAAAAAACATGCTTACATGGGAGATTGTGCATTTGTGAATGATTTTAGTAGAATACAAAGTGTGGGTTTACATTAAAAAATTCACCAAGAGGAGTTGACACATGAGCTTGTGGCTTTGGAACAGAGTCCCATATCTGCAGGTAATGGGGGATGCTTAGTGTCAGCGAGGCTATCCTAGCCCACATGAAATTAAATTAAATTATATATAAAAAAGTGAAACATGAAGTAACATCTTTACCTTTTGGATATCTTCTCTCAAAACAGGTTCTAAATTCTCCAAAGGTGTCTACCAGACAAGAAAAGCAAGTATATATCTTATATATGCAAGAAAAAACCGAATCAAGAAGCCAGTAGGACCAAACGTACCTTGGTTTTATCACGGATTACAAACATCAAAGTTGTTTTTCGAGGACTAAACAATCGCATCATGACCTAAAAACCCAAACAAAGTACTAGCGCATGATGAGATGAGATCTACCAAAGGCTAACAACACCAACAAGGACAAGGAATACCTGGAATACAGTCTTCAAAAGAGGCTTATTTGCAGCTTGTTCACGACCAATATCGTGACACCACCTAAGCAACGTAACTAGAAAATTTATTTCCAGAATTATAGCCAACAACTCATTATTATGGTATTGCAACAAATGTAAGAAAGAAATCTTACATGTTAATCAAAACTATGTCAGAAACAGCAAGGGCAAAGAGTGCACTCTGTTTTTCGAACGCTGTATCATCCTAATTAAACAGCAACATGGTCAACAAGTTTCTTCTTATAGTGGGAGATGCTAAATTTGCAAGAAACCTTATGCATTGCAACCGTCCCCATTCTAACTTCAAACAAAATATGTGACTTTATTTAAACTAAGCTGAAAAATATGACTTGATTACTAATTGATAAGGAAATGCACCTCTCCGCGTTCTCTTCCATCTGTTCCTTCCAGATCCATTACCAGTGTACATGGTTCAATTCCTGTACAGTGTGCCATCCAAATGCCTTTTGTTGTTTGAGACCTAAAAACCATCTAGAGTTGAGAAGGTGAACGGTAGAAATATTAAAGACAACCAACATCAAAGTAACAGTGTCAAAAGGACATGCCTTCCTTTAAACGCATCCATCTCTCTAAAGTTTGTCTTGAACAAATTATTCAATAGAGTGCTCTTCCCTGTCCAATTCACTCAAACATATTTGAGTGAAGTGAAGAATAAAGGGACAAGAAGAGAAGAAAAAGGTAGAAAAGCATCCTTACCGCTACTTTGTGGCCCCATGATCGAGACTACAGCATATGAGAGTCCGCATTCCGCTAATTTAACCTCCTTAATGAAGTTTTCTATTCCAATGACAATAAACTCACCCTCTCCATCGATCAGTTGTGTAGAACAACATTCAGGTGCTGCTATATGTAAATGAAATTCACATATCTCAGAAACACATACAAACTACATCCCATAGGAATGGATGCCATAATAATATCAGAAAAAATTGAAGAATCAAGGCCGACATGAATCAAGAGAATTCTCTCTCACATAACACAAGAAATGATAATAGAAATGCATAATGTAATTAAGGCAATACTACACAAGCACCCAAAATAACACCAAACATGGAATTGAAATTTCCAAAATCTAATCAAGCCATCATATATCCAATAGAATTTAATTTCAAACAAAACATCTCTCTATGCAATCAAACACATTCCATCAAAATTAAGTACACAAAATGAACAATTTCATAAATCTCTCCAAAGTATAGGTGAATTGTAGCATCTCTATATGACACTACATACATTTTAGCTATTCAACTATGACCATGTCATTCCTTGGAACAAGAACAAGACCGAGGAGGTAAAAAGAAAGAATGAGAGATTGATTACCCATCAGAGCTGGAAGGACAATGGTGAAACCTTGAATACGGATCGATTGGTGGAGACAACAGATGAAATGCAAAAAAATAACAAAAACTAAAATTTGATGAACATCTTTGGATTTTCTTCTTTTCCAAGTGATAATGCAATGAACCGGAAGTATCCTCAAATCACCATGTTTGAAAAGAAAATGTTTGCACCTTTTTGAGATTCTGAAAGCAAAAAAAAAAAAGATCGATGAAGGAAAACAAAATGTGTTTGTCCTTCCTTTATTTTCCTAAAAAAAGAAGATTAAGGAAAATAAATTTTGCAAAAAAAGTACATTTTAGCTTTAGCATAAAATAACACCACAAAAAAGAGTTTATTTCAAAATTGTTGTCCTCTGTATACTATGACAATGTATTACTATTGTATAATAACATGTAGGATATATTTAAATAAAAAAATAAAAAATTCAATTAATAGATATTTTCCCGAGTAATTATCATAAATGGTTACATAATTTATCAGTTAGTACAAAATGGTGACAAAAGGTTTAATTTGCACATTTCCATAAAACAAGTTTGTACGAATAACAAAGCGGTCATTCCGTCCATCTCCATCCAAAAAGTTGTTAATTCAATCTAGTCAGTATGTCATGTCATAAAAAAATTAAGAAATCATTGAAACATACCAATTAAACCCAACCACACTCAACCCACCCGAAGACTATACACTATAAGAGTACAAACCCAAAATTGAGAACAAAACTCAAATTTTTCCCTCACTCCTTATGTTGCACCTCTCTATAACCCCTCTGATTGCGCATATTTTGTGGCTATTCCCTCTCTTTCTCTCTCTAGGTATTTGTTTTCTCACTCTTCGTTTCTCCTACGTCTAACGTAAGCCCTAGCCAAACAACGAGCCCCCAAGACGACCTCGACATGTTGAGAACGAATAGAAAAATAATTATACGAGGATGGAGGGAGCTACATAATGTTCTGGAAGCGTCCCTTCTGTTGGGGTCTGGCCACTCCATACGATCACCCTTTGACAGCAATTCAGAACTCTGGACTCCAAACTGCCAACGACAGCGTCAATGGTTGGCTTTCATCCCATGATAACATTCAAAATCGTGTTATTTAGCCCTTATATTATGTTTGTTTTAAGTTATTTCGTGGTCTCATTGGTTGATATGTCATCAAATACATCATTCATTCGTTCATCGGATAAAATATCGTCATATTAGGGTGTTTTAGATGATACAAATGTCTTAGGTAAAATAAGGGTAACAAATGGAGGATTATGTGCAAAAATGAGAGATCACGGTCAGAGAAGGAGATCAAGGTCGGAAAGTAAGGGCGCATAGCTAAGTATTAACATCGCGGCCTCCAGAGTTGAGATGGCGGCCGCGAAGATTGGAGCTTTGGGCACGAACTTGAAGATGCAGCCAACAAGGAAGGACTAGGGAGTTTCGACAGTCGACTCGTGGCTCTTGTTCTCCATGCTCGTGATAAAGATCACGGTCATGACATCTCGGCTCGCGACCGTGATGTTAGGCCGCGAAATTCCCATACAGCAAGGTTAAGAAGGCGACACCGAGATTGCGGCCTCTCCTCTAAAGATCACGCCTGCGATCTTCCCTTATCCAGCCCCTATCCACGCCTGCGATCTTCGAACAAGATCCTCATGGAGGAGGGCGCCAAGCCGGTCCGCCAACCACAACGGCGTGTGAATCCTAACCTGGAGGAGGTGGTGAAGGTTGAGGTTATTAAGCTCCTGGACGTTGGGATCATCTACCCCATTTTCGATAGTCAGTAGGTAAGCCCGACTTAGTTGGTTCCCAAGAAAGGAGGGATAACAGTGGTGGCAAATCAGAAGGAGGAGCTCATACCCACTAGGACGGTGACCGGGTGGAGAGTGTGCATTGATTATCGTCAATTGAACGATGCCACTCGTAAAGATCATTTCCCTTTGCCTTTCCTTGATCAAATCCTAGAGAAGCTTGCGGGTCACAACTATTACTGCTTCCTGGTTGGTATGTCAGGGTACTTCTAGATACCAATTTCCTTGGAAGATTAGGCCAAGACAACATTCACTTGCCCATTCGGAACATTCGCTTATAGACGCATTCCATTTGGATTGTGTAATGCCTCCACTACATTTTAGAGATGCATGGTGCCTATCTTTGACAAGCTTGTGGGGGAGATAATGGAGGTGTTCATGGAAGATTTCTCGGTATTTTGGGATTAATTTGCTCATTGCTTGGTCAACTTGGAGAAGGTCTTTGCGCGGTGTGAAGAGACCAATTTGTCTTTAAGTTGGGAGAAGTCCAATTATATGGTACGAGTGGGCATTGTTTTGGGGCATAAGATTTCGAAGAAGGGCATTGAGGTAGACCGAGCCAAGGTCGAGACCATAAGCAATATTCCCCCTCCGACATTAGATAAAGGCATTAGGAGCTTCCTTGGGCACGTGGGATTCTATCGCCAATTTATAAAAAAAAAACTTCTCAAAGATCGCGCTACCCCTTACAAAGCTTCTAGAGAAAGGATGCATCTTTTCTCTTTACGAAGGAGTGTTTTGAAGATTTTAATATCCTCAAGGCTAGGCTCACAAATGCTCCGATCATGGTTTCTCCGGATTGGACCCTCCCTTTCGAGCTAATGTGTGATGCTAACGATTACGCAGTGGGAGCGGTGTAGGTCAAAGGCGGGGGAGAATTTCCAACCCATATGCTATGCCTCAAAGGCATTGAACGAGGCTTAGGAGAACTACACAACTACTGAAAAGGAATTGTTGGCAGTCATCTTTGCCTTCGACAAGTTATGGTCCTACCTTGTGCCGTCAAAGGCCATTGTATACACCGATCATTCCACCATCCATTTCTTGATGAGCAAGACCGATGCCAAACCCCGCTTGATCAGATGGATCTTGATTCTCCATGACTTTGATGTGGATATCAAAGACAAGAAAGGAGCCGAGAACCTTGCGGCGGATCACCTTTCCCGACTTGAAGGTCCTGCGGGGAGCACTTTCCAAGGCGAGATTATTGACACTTTCCTCGATGAGAGGTTATTCGTACTTGCCGTGGCTGAGAGTGCCACCCCGTGGTTCGCCGACTTCGCCAATTATTTGGTCGGACGGCAGCTACTGAAGGGGATGAATACAAATGAAAAAAGAAAGTTTATTTCTGACCTCCGATGCTACTTTTGGGATGATCCTTACCTTTTTGGATTGGGCCGATGAGATCATTCGAAGGTGTGTACCGGAAAGGAAAATGATGGCTATTCTAAGCCAATGTCATGAGGAACCAACATGAGGGCATCACGGTGGAAACCGCACTACAAGGAAGGTGCTTCAATCAGGATTCTACTGGCCGTCGCTGTTACGGGATGATGATTCATTCGTCCGACACTATGATAGCTACCAAAGAATAGGTAAACATTCCAATCGAAATGAGATGCCCCAAATAGTTTCCATCATGTGTGAGATTTTCGATGTATGGGGCATCGATTTCATGGGCCCTTTTCCCTTGTCTTTTGGAAATGAGTACATTCTAGCACCCATGGACTACATCTCGAGGTGGGTGGAGGTGCAATCCCTCCCGATGCAAGACGAGTCTGCGGATTCCTGGAGATTTTTTTTTCACATTTTGGAACCTTGTGGGCCATCATTAGTGATCGAGGAACCCATTTTCAAGGGCAATTCGATAAACTTCTCGATCGCTATGGCCATCGGGTTCCATGGCCTACGACCCTCAAACAAGTGGTCAGGTTGAATTGTCAAATAGGAAACTGAAAAAGGATACTGGAAATGAACGTGGGCCAATTCTGTAAGGATTGGTCTGCAAAACTCGATGATGCTCTATGGGTGTACCGCATGGCCTACAAAACATCAATAGGCATCTCGCCTTACCAATTTGTTCACGGTAAAGCGTGTCATTTTCTCTTAGAGCTAGAGCATAGGGCTTTTTGGGCCACCAAACTGTTGAATATGGACCCTATGCTACACCAGATTGGCGGTTATACTTGGTCGTCGATTGGGATGTGTAGTTAGAAGTAAAGCTGGGTTTTCTTAGACAAATCTTGTCTCCTATCTAGGTTAATGTAGAGCAACCCTCTTTGTTCGTATTAGCACCTAGGGTTGATTGTAATTTGGCCGTCCAAACTCTGATTCGAGGGTGAACTCTTGGAAACCCTTGGTCAATAGGTCAAGAGAGCTGCTTTGGTTTCTTGAATCGAATTCCCTTGACCTAGAGACCGAGAGAGTGGCATTTGGCTACTTGTTGCACTTCCATATTATTTACAACCACCTTACCACACGTGTCCATTCGATCCGACATGTCATAATTGCTAGCTAGGGGGAGTAACACTTGGGTGAAGCCTTCGCATTTAGTGTCAAATCCATTTACTATTCCAAACGTTTTAGCTATAGATCGTTGTTTTCAAAACAAAAAAAAAAACAATTGCTAGATAATGTTACAAACAACCGAAGTAGGGGTACATGAACCGGCCCAGGTTGACATTTAAACATACTTCCCTGTATTGCACCCAATTGAGGTTTATACTTGGGACTCAATTGGGAGTTTTATTGTGATATTCGGGACGAGTTAGGTTCCTTTCCGCTCAATTGAAGTTTTTTTTTTTGCACGAGGCATCATAAAATGACGTTGTTTGATTCCTTCATTAAATCGACATTTCTCCGCCGTCCATGGAATCGTATAAAAGTTGCCAATAAACATATTTTTACTAGTTTACAACCGTTGTTTACGTTTTTGTGTACACTACGAATTTAGGTAGAAACTGAAGCGTTCTTGTGGTTTAGATAGGTACAATCGTACGATTTTATGCTTTAAAGCGCGATTTTGACTGCATTGCTTGCCGTCATTGCTTGAAACTACAGTTCTTGGAGAGATCTTTGGGATTTGGTGGCCGACGATGGACGAGGGAAGCTTGATCAGATTATGTTGTTGATCGTTGCTGTTTTGGTTGGTCGGTCGGTCATCATAAAGAAGAAGAGTTATGTCAAAGTGAGGCAAAAGAAAGAAGAAATAATGGTTAAGAAGATAGGGTCGTGTTGGGTGGGGATTGAATTGGTGTTGGGTTATGTTGTGGGTCTGATATGGTGGCCATTGTGACATGGTTGCTTGGGTTTTGTAACGTAGCAGGTCAAAATTTGATATATTAGCGTTTATGTTATCCACGTTAGAAGTTAATTATATTATATATAAAATTATACTTTATCCGATCTTAATCGATATGAGTTTTTATGTTACTAAAATTCAAAATACTATGTGAATTTTATTATGCTACTTCTTGTTCAATATAACTTATTAACTATTAATGTAACCTTATTTTAACCGTAGAAGAGGTTTGCTTTGTTATCAAAAAATGATTAATGTATCTAGCATAATAGACGAATTTTTTTTTTTTTTGAAAAGAGGTACACGATTCCTAATGGAGAAAGTATAAATTGGTGAAAAACTCCTTTCAGCCATAATCAAAACTGTAAATTGTTAGGAAATCGAGAGGAATAAAATAGAGGAAAAGATAAGCAAAAATATGCATGTTCTATTATTAACTAATAGGGCTTGAAAAATAGGAGGTGAGAAATTAGAGCTAAAGACAAAAAATAAAGGAAAAGAATAGGATAAAACAAGAAAGTTCGGTAGGCAAATTGTATGACTTGAGAAATTTTGGGTGATACATGCTAAAAGGGTAAACTTAGAGAGGAATGAGCATTTTGGGATTAATACTTATCCTCGAACACATAACCTCCTTATAAAAAAAACAGACTTCATAGTCACTAGACTACTGCATGTAAATATGTCTAGTGGTGCACAACCAAGTTTTACAATGGCCCCCCTTTATTAACGCACTAGCTCCGTCTTTGCACGTTAGTCAAATATTGACGTTGTGAACGAAGGTTGACAGATATTAATGAAGAGTGACCAAACTTAAAAAATTTAACGAATACTAATTAACGAAATAAAATATTTTTAATAACCAAATTAATTCCATTAACCAAATTTGAAATTTACCCGAAAATATATACTACACAGTAGACACTAGACAGTAGTTGAAACTTGAAAAACAATAAACTAAAGGCTAACATTCTAGATCACCAGTCCCTTTCTCAGCGGACCGAACAAAAGAAATGGAGAAGAGTGGAAATAACGAAAAGTGATCCCCTTGCAAGACCAATCATTTTGCTCTGCAGCCATCTTCTTCCTCAACTCTCACTCTGCAATCTTCGTCACTCTCCCGAAGATGATCGGCGGGCTCTCTGCTACGGCAACCCTCTTCGTCGCTTTGCTCCTCATTTCATCCGCGCACGCTTTCTACCTCCCCGGCGTGGCCCCTCGTGACTTCCAGCGGGTGAGCTTTGCTTTCTCTCTGCATCTTCTATGTCTCTCTGGTGTCTGAGTTGTGTGGCACTTCATTGTTTCTTATCCGTTTTGTTTGTTGTCGGATCTAGGGTTTTTAATGATCGGGGTCTGATCTAGCATACTAGTTGTTCGGATTCTGATAGATCTAATTTTTGTTTTCCATTTTGGGGGTTTAAGTTAGTTTCTGATCCGGGGTTGTCCTCGTTGAGTAGGGACTTTTGCATGCGTCTCTCTGTATTTGGCAAAATCTGGCTCCAAGCATGTTCTAGGACGAATTTAATTTGGTTTCCTATCATTGTATCTCTATTTCAGTTAGTCTGAATCTCTGATATTTTGTGTTGTGAGGATGCGAAGATGATATGGTTCCTTAGTGATTACCCGTTAATATTATATTGAGTGGATTACTCTTTTCACTTAACATGATTCTCATTCATCAATATCAGAAATGATTCGTAGAAAGAGGTTGGATGTAGTTTGTGGGCAGATAAGTTGTGTTACAAACTTACAATTGGTGTTTGTATTCAGGACTGTTCTGAACTCTGTAAGGCAGATTTATTGTTATATATGAATCATGTAGTGAATGTGAAACCTAGAGCAGACAATGACAATGACAAGCTTGGGTAGTGATAAGCTCTGATCTATCTTTTTTCTCAGTCATTGATTATTAAGATTTAAGAATTACATTCGATTTTTATAATTTTAAGGCTGGTTAACGTTTCAGAGGTAATGCAGATATGCTTGCACAACTTCCTGTTTTCACGTGCTTGATGCGATATTTGAAATGTATTTTTGTCATGTTTTACTAATCTACTGAAAATTAGGAAAGCCTATTTATGGATGGGTGTATCAGTTATTTTCCATCTCTTGCTTACCGGTGCTTTTACTCACTTCTTTTGTCTATTAGGTGCACATTTAGCCATTTTGTCTCTTAATGATTTTCTTTGTGTCTCTGAACAGGGCAACCTTCTCAATGTCAAAGTAAACAAATTGTCATCTACAAAAACACAACTTCCTTATGACTACTACTTTTTAAAGTATTGTAAACCTCCAAAGATTGAGAACAGTGCAGAAAACTTGGGGGAGGTCCTTAGAGGTGACCGCATTGAAAACTCGATGTACATTGTAAGCTATTGTTGACTATTATCTTATTTGTTGATAATGAATTAAACTGTTATTATGAAGCTGATGTCCTTGTCTTACCTTGGTCTTGTGTGAACTCTAAAATCTACTCCAGTTTGAAATGATGGAACAGCAATCCTGCAAAATAGCTTGTCGAGCAACACTTGATGCTGAAGCGGCAAAGAATTTTAAGGAAAAGATTGATGATGAGTATCGTGTTAACATGTAAGTAAACATTTTCAAATAATAGTTTGATTTTTAAAGTCACGATCCGAAAGGTTGAAATCCGGTGTTTTCGCGGATCTTTCAGCATCCTTATTTGGGTTAATGGCCACTGGATGTCAATTTGTGTAGAGTAATAAACATTATATATCCATGCTGACAGTTCAGAGGTGGATCTGCAGGATACTGGATAATCTTCCTGTTGCTGTCCTAAGACAGAGGAGGGATGGTGGTCAGTCAACTACTTACGAACATGGTTTCAGAGTTGGGTTCAAAGGAAATTATGCTGGGGTATGCATCAGTAGCATTCCATCCACATAATCTTCCTGTATGTTTAATTGTTTTTTTTATTTGATTGACTGGTGCCTTCTTGTGTGCTTGTTTTGGTTTCTCCACAGAGTAAAGAGGAGAAATATTTTATCAATAATCACTTAGTGTTTAGAGTTATGTATCACAAGGATCCTGAATCTGAATCTGCCCGAATTGTTGGATTTGAGGTTTCTCCAAACAGGTTTTCCCCATTATCTCTTCTCTGAGTTGGTGTTACGTTTGTATCAGCTGTGAACTTGTTATAACTTACTGTTGATTCATTCTCTGTTAACAGCATCAATCATGAATACAAGGAGTGGGATGAGAAGAAAACTCAGCTGACTACGTGCAACAAGGACACCAAAAAACTAATTCAAGGTAGTATTGTCCCTCAAGAAGTTGATACCGGCAAAGAGGTGGTCTTCACATATGATGTGATTTTCCAGGTACTCCCCTAAAACTCGTGTTCCCCATTACTGTTGGTCTAGCATATGGTTTCCATTTTATGCTTCTGATCTCTCCTTCACCACAATCCCCTTAAGGAGAGTGATGTCAAGTGGGCTTCACGTTGGGACACCTATCTCCTAATGAACGATGATCAAATTCACTGGTTCTCCATCACCAACTCGCTGATGATTGTCCTCTTCCTATCTGGTATGGTAGCCATGATCATGATGAGAACTCTATACAGAGACATTGCAAACTACAATCAGTTGGAAACACAGGATGAGGCCCAGGAGGAGACCGGGTGGAAGCTTGTCCATGGAGATGTATTCAGGGCACCGATGAACGCTGGTTTACTCTGTGTTTATCTCGGTACAGGTGTCCAGATCTTTGGTATGACTTTGGTCACCATGATATTCGCATTACTCGGCTTTCTCTCTCCCTCCAATCGAGGAGGCCTTATGACTGCCATGGTTCTCTTGTGGGTCTTCATGGGGATATTCGCCGGATACTCTTCTGCACGTCTCTACAAAATGTTCAAAGGCACAGAGTGGAAGAGAAACACCCTAAAAACAGCATTCATGTTCCCGGGTATCCTCTTTGCAGTGTTCTTTGTCCTGAATGCTCTCATTTGGGGAGAGAAGTCTTCAGGTGCTGTCCCTTTTGGAACTATGTTTGCTCTGGTTTGCTTATGGTTTGGTATCTCTGTCCCACTTGTTTTTGTCGGTAGTTACTTGGGTTACAAAAAACCAGCTATCGAAGATCCTGTCAAAACGAACAAGATTCCGAGGCAAGTCCCAGAGCAGGCATGGTACATGAAGCCTGTCTTCTCCATCCTCATTGGTGGCATTCTCCCATTTGGTGCTGTCTTCATCGAGCTCTTCTTCATCTTGACCTCGATCTGGCTGAACCAGTTCTACTACATCTTTGGCTTCCTCTTTATAGTGTTTGTCATCCTGTTGATAACTTGTGCTGAGATAACGATCGTGCTATGCTACTTCCAGCTGTGTAGTGAGGACTACCACTGGTGGTGGAGGTCCTATCTCACTGCTGGTTCTTCTGCTGTTTACCTTTTCCTATACTCCATCTTCTACTTCTTCACCAAGTTGGAGATCTCGAAGTTTGTCTCAGGGGTCCTCTACTTTGGGTATATGGTGATCATTTCGTATGCATTCTTCGTCTTGACTGGAACTATAGGGTTCTATGCCTGTTTCTGGTTCGTCAAGAAGATATACTCATCTGTGAAAATCGACTGATAGAAGAGGAATACACAATATGTTCCAAGGTCAAAACCAAGTAGCTGTGCTTACCTTGGTCCAGTTTTTGTTGCTGAGGCTTGCTGCTTGCTTGCGCCAAAAGAAAGATGGCTATCGATACCTGGAGAGTTTTGGCCCTGTTGATGTTTCTGATGCTGCTGATAGATTTAGGGGCCTTGGCTGGCTGTTGTTTCTTTTTAACTGGTTAACTTTCAAATGTTTAATCTTGTTGCCTGGTTGAGGATTTGACAGGGTAATGTAGATCACACGTTGCACTTCGTTGCACCATTAGATGGCATAAGCGCAGACAATTGTAGTTTCTTCCTCCTTATTGTAATAGCAAAACATGGTTTTATATGGAATGGATCCAGTATCCTATTTTTGAGTGTTGTAAAACCCAGTTCTTTCCTCTGCTAACTCGAGCCTGAACATTGTTTGGTAGTTTGATTGTTGGCAGCGTAGTCGTCAATCTTGTCATCAAAGCGGTAAGCTCCCAATTGGTCCACGCTGAGCCTACGTGACAAGGGTACCCAAAATTCATGTCACTTCAGTTCGAACAGATATTCACACTCCTTGAGGTTAATTGCATGGTTGGTCATTGAAGATTACAAACGTTCATGTTGGTCACTAGAAATATTTAATTCCATTTTTGGTAACTAAAATTAGTTAAATAGTTCAAGTTTGGTCACTCTCCGTCCAACTTCGTTAACTTTTGCTTACGTGACGGTCAACTCTAAAAATGGACCATTAAATGTGTGACATGGTAGTTAAAAAATTGTAATTTTTATAAAATTCTCATCTCAACTTCTTCGAAATTCTTCTTCTTCATCAACATCTGCGATTCCCCACAGGCGGAGGATTCATCCCCATAACCCGACACCGCTCCATCCGGGTCACCGCCAAACAGAGCAGCCCATTTGGGGGAATCGGATGGCAAAATTTCGAGGACGAGGGAATGGGGCAGATGGGCAGTCTCGTTGTCGCTGGTTCTCCGAACCCCATCAATCAATTTCGACAAAGATTCGGCTTTGACAACCAGGACTCGGAGAAGAAGTGGGTCGTCATGGTGCTGCTCTTCTTCCCGCCTCTGCCTCCTGAGACTTCTGCAGAGGAAAAACAGAGAGAAGGAGAAGGAGAGGGAGAAGACAAAGAAGAAGAAAGCGAGGATGTGGGAGAGCAGCATAGGTTGGATTTTGTGGGTTGTGGATGAGAAAAAGAAGAAATAGTGAGAAAATGGAGCGGACAACCAAGTTTGCTTGAACCAATATTAAGAAATAGCTCCTCCTCAACTTGTGGTAGACAAAACAATAAGTGCAAGCCTATGATACTTGCGCTTTCGATATTTTTTGTTGAGATGGAGAACTCAATCAGAAACTCCCACACCAACAGCTTTTGTAGGACTGAACTCCTCCATTCCGGTCGAATTAGCCACCCTATGCTTGCGGCTACTTCCAAGGCTGCATCCCCACTCTTGCGTACCATTCATGTATAATATTTTCAAGAGCTAATATCACTAGGAAACCCGAACTATTAACTTTGTGTCATTTGTGTCCTAAAGTATTCGATATAACAATTGTGTCCCAAACTATTTTTACGTTATGGTTGACTGGCATTGACCGCTAGTTTTAAACAGAAAGTCTAATACGCGCTGATGTGACATCTGACGTGGAAATTAAAAGGAAAAAATAACAAAAAATGTAGATTAAAAGAAAAATTAAAAAGTCAAAATTTCGTTCACTTTCCTCTTCACCTTTTCCCCATAACCTGATAACCCTTCTGTATTCCGCCGAAAGAGAGAGAAAGATAGAATTAGACAGGGGAAATCAGAGCAGAAGCTTGTGCTTCAATGTCGATTCACCGGAAGAAGTAGCCGATCGTCCACTTGCTACAGGCGAATTCACTCAAGAGCAGACGCCTTCCCTCAAACCACGCTAGTCGACCATCCACCCGCCGCTACTGCTGAGTTCGTAGGGTGAGCTCTGAGGTCGCTACCCGCAGCAAGCCTTTCCGGCAGCGTGGCTCCGATTGTTGATGAAATGCTTCAATGAGGATGGAGAGGAGTGAACCCAACTCTCACCGTGAGTGCCTCCGTGACAACCGATGGGAAAGAGCAGAGTGTGTTTAAGGTTTCGAGCACTGTCGAAGATCTAGATCTAGGACTCGAGCACCAAAGACAACGACGAATGTTGTCGACAATGATAAGATCTGGGAGATCGATTCTGATGCCGCCAGCAAAATAGTAACCCGCAGAACGGGTTGGACTGTTTCAAACTCGATAAATCTTGAATGAAGAGAGGGTTGGACTATTTCTAGCTCGATAAATCTTGAATCAAGAGATTTGTTTTTAGAATCGATTTGGGAAGGAGATGATTAAGGTCGGCGGGAAGAGAAGCGGAGGAAAGGGACGGCAGACGATGGACCCCAAATGATAGGGTTTTGGGTTCTCGGAGAAGAAGATGCAGATGAATGACGAAGGAATCGACGCCTCCCATCTCACCGATTTTGGCGAAGAGGAAGACGAGAATGCCGCCACTTTGTCTTTCCAACACGACTAGCCCCCGCTTCGAACTGTCAAGCCGGTGAGAGTGGCGGAGAGGAAGACGAGAATGCCATCGCCGTTCCCTTCTTCCTCGGTGGAATTTGTTTAGAAGAAGAGGAAAGCTTGTGAGGGGTTTTTTTTATAATACACTATTATTCTTTATTTAATTTTTAATTAAAAATATGAGGTGTCATTGATGTGGCATCTACGTGGCTGCCACGGCAACAAAAGTCAATGTTAATGTTGACTTCCATTTGGTCAACCGTTATCTATAACGGTCAACGAAATCGTCAGGACATAAATGACACACAACTATCATACATTGTGATATAAATTTCATATCGAATACTTTAGGACACAAATGACACAAAATTAATAGTTCGGGTTTCCCAGTTGTATTACCCTATTTTCAATAACCTCCCTCTTCCAACTTTTCATGCATTTCTTGTTCATCCCATATACCCTCTACTCTCATGCTCAATTCATGGACTTAAAGTGATACAAAGTTCATATTCGCAATCCAATCTCTTGTGCATCAGTCACGCCATTCTACAAACCTCGTGTTCTTTCTTCTTCCTAAATTTTCAAGTATATGGTGGACACGAGATATTTTCGATGCCAATGACAAGTAATATTCTGATGGCAATTTCAGCTTTCAATTCATGCACCAAACACAAGAAACTCTTGTGGTGTGATTGTCAGTATTCGAACATCTTTGTACGAGAACCATTCAAACTTAAACGTTGAAATAAATGAGGAGTCCCTTTTGATTTCACATATATGTTGTTATTACACCGGGCTTCCGTGGTGAGTTACCTTGAAAGCTACTGAATACTTGCCTGATAAATCAAAGATAGATCGAGGGAAATAAACATGAAGATTTATCTTAATCAGCATATCATAGCTAGGTTCAATATGTTAGGAATGGAACAACAACAAGAATGGGGTTACCGAATTTGGAGCTGAGTCGCGGACTAGGTCGCTCTCTTTAAGACGTTCGCGGTACTGCCCTCGACGCGCACGGCAGACTATCAACCGGTCGTCTCCAGGATAAAACAGCTCCTCTCAATATTCCTTTTTAGTTGATTATCCTTAGAATATTCCTCAGAATAACCGATTAATAATTAATTATTAGATAATTAATTTCGTTTGGAATTTCTCCAAAAATATATATATATAGTCTCAAGTGAACCAACCAACAGACCGACCGGCCGGTCGGACGGCGCTCGCTCGCATGTGTGGTGGTCCGTTAGGTCCTCCCTCTCCCACAAAAGTGGGTCACCCATAAGGGGCATGCCCTTAGGAGAGAGGCTCCTATCTTTATACACATTTCACCAAGTAAAACTACCAATGTGGTAGTTTTTCCACATGAGACTCTATAACTTTCAAAGCTATTCATATATACATTTCCAACATCATCTTATCCAAAAACAAAGGCGATTATTTATGAGAGATGCAGATACAAACAAAGAAGAAGAAGAATAAAAGGTGATCTTCATGGTTGAATCATTGATTATTCTCTCCCAATCGCCTCCTTCGAGGTTGAGCTTTTGGAAAACCTTTTTTATTAGCCCTCTAACTCGAATTTTAGGATTTAGATTAAATATGGTTGGAGTCGCCTTGAAAAAACATAAAAACGATCTGACACGCCAAAACACAACACCAATCTGCGACCAAGTGTAATCGCAGACCGAGAATGCAGTAACAAGCAAGTTATATTATCAACCCGGGGTCTAGGTCTACTGCTTACTCAGTGATTCTCTATTATCTAGCCAACTAAAGTAAGTGATTGTTGTTTAAAAGCAAAAGCAGAAAGAAAGCAGGAAATTATTCGGTTTTCTCAAGCGGGAAAGAGTCACTCGGGAATGAGTCCCCCTAGCTCCTTAGTTAGGTTCAATTGCAATTTCCCTGGGTTGATTTACTGTTGATTAGACTGCGGAAGATCCGACAGTAGCTTGGAATCTCTTAAGCTGACCAAGCCCTCTCAGTCTAACTACCCGACAGACGACTAGTCTTCACCGGGATAGAAAGCTGAAGCAGTAAGAACAGAACTCCACTACTGGAATTGGATTCCAGTACAAAGCAGTAAACTGGCTAACTCTCGTATAGCCAATCTCCTACTATCGAATGATGAGACTCTAGCAACCTAATCAGATTCTATCTATCTCATATTGCAGCAGGAATCAGGAAAAGTTGATCAGACTTCAATTGACTCAATAAACATGCATCATTCGATTAAAATCAAACAGTAATATCATCCCAAGTCATTACAATCAATCCCTAACACATAGAACTAGGGTTCTTCATCCCCAAGTGAGAGAGGGGTTCTACTCCATAGATAGAGAGAAGAAAACAAGATACAAAGCAATCATACTCATAATTATGGGAAGAATCTGCTCTGGGATGATGATTTCCACTCCTATGACGATCTCCAAGCTTGATTTGATGAAACCCAGCTCCAAGATGGCTTCTAGGATGTGTTCTTCGTCCTTTCTCTCTCTAGGGCTCTGTTTTTGCTCAAAAAGTCCGATTCTCTCTCTTGCAGCCCGGAATTGGGTTAAAACCAGGAATTCCCGACTCACACGGGCAGGGCCACACGGCCGTGTGGCATACCCAGTTGCCCGTGTGAGTCAAAACGCTGCGTTCCAATTAGTTCGATCTTCAGGCTTCTCACACGGCCAGGGTCGCACGGCCGTATGGGATTTCCATCTGCCTGTGTTTGCTCTCGGCGAAACTCGCACGGCCAAACCACTCCTTCACACGGCCGTGTGAACATCAGGGCAAGCCGTGTTTGCTCTCGCACAATCTCACACGGCCAAAGTGGTCACTTGCACGGCCGTGTGAGTTGTGGGTGTGCCCGTGTGGCCTCCTTTGTGACTTGGCTCGCGCCCGATCTTCGTCCAATCGACCCCAAACTCGCTCCTAAGCCTCCATTCACGTACTAGAAGCTGAAATATCACAAACAAACACAACCTAGCGTGAAATCGGCCTAAAACACTAGAAATCACATCTCAAACGGTGTATGAACAGGGGTAAAAACATGTGTAATTAACGGTCTATCAAACTCCCCCACACTTAACCGTTTGCTTGTCCCCAAGCAAACCAAGTCAGACACAAGGTAAGCTCACATATTTCAATCAACCAACATTGGGGACAAGTCATAAATGCACAAAACACGTGAATCGTACTGGTTTTCAAACACCAATACCTGACCAACTTCAATAGCAACCTGGACAACCACCACAAAGGACATTCGAGTGCAGCAAAATCGAGTAAAGGAAGAGTCTCACTTCTGTTCACCAACCAACCTAGACTTGACTCAACCACTTACTCAAAACAGTCAACTCATGCATCCAACTCAAGACATCAGAATAGAGACCGAGCAATCTAGGCCCTCACCGGGGTACAAGAGTACATAGAATATGAAAATGAATCACTCACTCTCGACCAGTGGGGTCAGGACAATTTGATGCGAAAAATGCGCATGTTATATCTCTCAATCCCTAACATCTCTTCACCATGATGGCAGCCTCTAAAAGCTAGAGTTCACATATGGGGTGTCACCACTAACTAATCAGGAGGTCTTAGACACAGGTTCAAATGACTAGTTAGGGTCTTGGACATGGTGAAAAGGCCTTTTAGGTGGTGGAAGTATTCATAGCACAAGGTTCCACATTTCCAAACCCAAACAATCACAGTCAAACAAACCGGTATTTCCTTTCTGCTATTCTGCATTACTCAATATCTCAAGAGCACAAGAGCGAAGGAGGTAAAAATGTCAGCATTTCCAAGCCAGACTGCTAAGAAACACTACTTACTGGGCATTATTAAGATTTTTGGTAGTGGCTCTCTTTGCTTTCAATTTTTCTTTGGTTTTTTCTTTCATTTTCTTTTCATTTCTTAAGAGAGCCACCA